AGATTCAGAAAGAATGACCAATAAGTTATTTTTAAAGTGGATTGAACAAAGCCTCGATATCAAATGGACCCAAGCAAGGTAATTAAGGATTCCAAGAAAAAAATTGGCCAATTAAGAAGGTATAAAAGGCAATTGCTTGATAGAAGGAAAATTGAGTTATTTTTGCAAGCATCAAATATTATTTGGAGAACAAATTACTCTTTCATTTAGCAAATATGGCATTTAAAAATTACTTTATTAATGATTGAAAAAAAATAAAGGAGGCAATTGGACTTTTAGCTAAGCAATAAAAGCTTAAGATTCAGAGTTAACCGGCACAATTAGATCTAGTATCCATTGTCCTAACTTCTTCATTGACTCAAAAGATGAGAAAATATTATTCATAATAAAGCACTAGAGAAATTAATCAAAGATATGGGAGATTTGATAGTGGAAATGACAAAATTGAAAAGATCTTAAAAACCTAGTGTATCAAATTCTTTACAAAGACCTAGAAGATATATTAAAAGATGTATGTGATATGATAGTCTAAGCCACAAGTATGGTGTTGTAATGTAATACAACTATATAGGTGAAACTATAATCAAAATTTAATTTCTAATTAATATCTAATTATCTTGATTCAATAATAATTCAAGGTATCTAAACATGGCTTTTATAAAAGCATCTTAATTTATTTTCTTATCTTAATAGTTAGTAGGTTGAAGGTTGGTTAGTACTTTTACCTTCTAAGCTCTAGAGATTCTTTTATTATCTTAGAAAGACTATAAATTGATAAAATCAGATTAGAAGAGATAAATAATTAGTATAATTAATACTAGGATTAAGTTGAAGGTAGGATTGGACTAAAAAATCCTTAGGATAGATTAGATTGATATTCAAGGATCGATCGTTTATAAGACATGGTTGAAATCAGACCTCTAGCCACTAAAATGATTGCCTAGGAAAAAATAGGATTTCATTTGAAGATTGGAGATTAGGATTTGAGAGCTAGGTTAGAGCTTATTCCAAAGATATAAGGTTGGTTTTGGTAGGATTTATTTGGACTTTGTAATTGTTGTTAAAAGATAACTTTTGTATTGGCAACTTAGGATTTATGCAATTCAATTAGGGCTAGCACTCTCAGCTAGTTTATAAAATTGGTATCACATCTACAATTCAAATTTTGAAAGTACTTGGTTAATTAGGTGTACTAAGTTTATAAGAAATTTTGTAATAATCTAATGGTGCAGTTGAGAGATATCTGGATTTTGGTATAAGAATAAACTAAAAGTTGGCAATTTAGAATTTCAAGTTGGTGGCCAAGTAATATTAGTCACAATCTATAAGTTGGATTGGAGTGAATTCTTGTTAAGCACATAGAGGACTTATGGTAGCATTTGTGTGAAATTTTTTGTTCGAAGTGAATGGTTAAATCATAAGCTATAATTTACTAAAGCTTGCTAATTAGGATTAAGGTTTACATAGAAAGTTTAAAATTATCTAATTATTGAAGTAATAACGAAATTAGAATTTATATAGGATTGAAATTACTAAAAAGAGTATTTTTGAGTACTTTGTATTAGATTTAAGCACTTTTGAATTAAAATTCAAATTACATTCTTCTTATAAGGATGAAACATATTAGGATTTTTTGGATATTTGTAAAACACAATCTCACCTTCTACAGCCAAATGTTTTGGTGTATTTTCAAATAAAATAATATGTAATATAACATAAGTAGTGAATTGGACATAAAAGTTTAGGATAAAAGGTATTAGATTATATTTGTGGTTATTTGGAATTGATGGCGCAAGAAGGTAAGAAGGTTGAATTTGGTGTCTTTGATGGATCTTTGGATAGAGATACAAATAGAACTTCAAGTAGAGCTTCAAGTGGATTTTCTATCGATGAAGAAGGTATGTATTTTGATCCAAATACTGCAAAAATGTTTCAAGCATTTACATTATTTATGCAACAGTAACATGGGAATGATTGCAAAGAGGCTTTAACCACCAAAGCATTGTAAGTGGTGGTTAACAAGATTGACCAATTTGATAGAAGGGATATTTCTAATTATTTAAGATGTTATATGTAAAAAATAGAATTAAATCATATTTCTAAGAAGAAAATGATTCAATTATTTGAGCTTACTATGGTACTAGAAATAAAAGAGCATATAAGATCTATTATGGAGCAAGTTAGAAGTTCATGGAAGGTATTTTTACATGCCTTGAAGGATGAGTATTTTTTAGAGGACACTGATTGAGTTACCAAGAAATCATTCATGGAATGGATTGAATGACCTAAGAATAATTTACAAGCAATAAAATTTGTCAAAGCTATAGACAACAATAAAGGCATAGTTAAAGAAAGCTCAAAAATAACAAAAGATCAATGCAGATGCTTATTGCAAGAAAAAACCACAATTCAATATGAGTAACAAAGTATAGTTATTTTGTCACAATATCAAGATTACTCATCCTTGTGACAAGTTGGACTATCATAGGTTTAAACTTTTTTTTATTTGTAAACAAATCAATCTTATTACTTATTGATTATATCTACCAGAGTCTATGAAGATCCATCTCATATTCCATGTATATCTTATAGAGCTATATAAGATAGTAAGTATCTAGAGAAGAAAAAAAAAATGCCACCTCTTCCTATAAAAAAAGATAAGAATCAAGAATTTGAGGTGGAAGAAGTCTTAGATTCAAGGTGGCATCAAAATAAGTTGGAATATCTTCATTGATACAAATCTGATATTAGTGAATGCACACAAGAACCAACAACGAATCTAGTAAATGCAACAAAGAGGATTGAAGCTTTTTATCAATGACATCAATCAAAATCAAGATGAAGATTTGTAAGATCTATGAAAGATGATGACCACTTCTCATGGAATTTGTCCGTAGAAAGGAGGATAATATCACAGACATATACATTTATTCCAATAGTTACTTATATCATTAAGTAGAAGTAGATAAATATAAATTAATTTCATAATATCTTCTAAAGAAGCTTCCTAGAAGCTCCATAGATTTATTTTTGACTTTACACATGTTTGTAGTTGATTGCTAAATTAAAAACTTAATCAAAAAGTTAATCACATACCACATGTATTGGTAGCTTATCAAACAAGCTAATTATGTGATACACATATAGATAACTTGTCTTACAAATTAAGACATATATCTAACAAAGTCAATACATGTTGGAGATCTTATAGAAGATTGTTATATAACTCTTAGTTAGAAAGTATATATGGAGGTAAGAGTGAAGTCTTCTTCACTCTTATTAATGCCTTTCTAGTCCTTAATCTTGTTTCAAGACTTTCTAGTCTTCTTAACTTTAGTAATATCCATTCTAATTCAATATATTATCATCTTTGAGTGATTTCTTAGTCTTTTCAAGCAACACAAGAGGATATTGAAATTTTCTTTCTTTCAAATTTATATCCTTGACAAATGATTAATTATCTAGTCTTTCATTTCATTACTAATTTATAGACCTACTTTGATTCTTATTTTTAAAAAATGAATGTGTATACATGTATATGTAATATCACCATTTTTTTTATATTGGTTACTATGGAAATAAATCACTTTGCTAATATGTCAATATAATACCCCTAATGAATGGCAAACCAAGTAAGACATCTTTTCTTTAAATTTTTTGAATAATTAACATCTTTCAATCATCATGTGGCTTATGTGTATAGTAATATTTAGATAACTTTACGTGAAGTTATGATTATTGTAAGATTCCGATTTGTACATCATCTAATATAATTTAAAATTTGAAGTGAAAAAAAAAAAAATGATATATCCTATTTGTATCAATGAATAATTCAATTAAAGGCATTTAAAATTAAGATTTATTTTTTAAGTATGATCAATGAACTAAGATACATGAGATCCATCTCCTATTATTTATATCTTTATAAAATCATTGATTCTCTCCTACAAAATATAAGTTGTAATAAGAATTATTATCATAGATTTATTTTGAATTTTTAAAATTCTAAAGTAAATATCAAATTTTTATTTCAAATAGGGCCAAGAAGCTCATTTTATGTGCATTGAAAAATCTTAGGCCTTCCTTTGATAATTTTTACAAATTTTCAATTTAAAATTAATTGGTAATAATTTAAAAAATTAAAAATTAATATCATATTTTATTAAATGATAAAAATACAAATGAAAAAATAAATATAATAAAATAATAATTATTTTTTAAATAAAAAAATTCTATATAAAATAATAAACTTTATAAGAATTTAAAATTATTCATAATTTAGGTTATTTTTTAATATGCAAGATTATATAAATTTTTCAAAAAATATATATTAAAATCATTGAATTATTAATTTTAATTATTTTTAAATTTAAAATATAAATACATCAAAATAAGTATCTTCAGATCACACACAAGTATTGATTATATTTATTTATTTGTTTATTTATTTATTTTAAAATTAAACTATCAATTTTTTTATTAAGCTTATATTTTAAAGCATTATCTTATTAATTTATTTTTACTCAAAAAGCCACATTTCTTAGAGAAGAATAAATAAAACTTTATTCATCTATTACAAGTGAAAGACAACCATTATTTATACAAGGGTCATTGATGCACAAGCACAATCCTTTTAGGCTGTGGCGACGATGGTCATCTACCGACCGGTGAACTCCCAACGACATTCATCTACTCAATAACGAGCATATCATATATTCATCTAAAAATCAACCACGAATCCACTCGACATTCATCGAAAAGAATCTCCCTCGCCAACAAATAAAACGTCGTTAGCATCAAACCACCCCATCGGCTCACCGCCACCGTGTCACAGTGGCCCAGATGCGAGAAAGGATCTGATACGGGGCAATCCACTTGGATAGAGTACGATCACACGTGGTTCCCGAGGGGCGCTCCCGAGGGGCGTTCAATTGAAGAGAACCATGAGAACGCCGAAGGAGTGGGGTGCTATTTGGAAGTATCTTATGGATCACTGCATTATCCGGTGGTTTTGATAACTCGTGTGAACAGAACCCTAGACGGAATAGCTCACTGCCCTTGCTCCGACTTTGCTACTGTCTCGCCCAGCTACCGAATTAGTATTACACGGTTTCGCTTGTTGCCTAGTTTTCGATCGGGGTCGGTGTGACGCCTTTCGGAGGGAAGAATCGGTCCTCTGCTGCTGATGCGGCTTCGAGGCTGAATCCTCAAGCCTGGAGCCACTTATTGCGCATTTCCACATACAATACTGTGTAGCAATCGGAGAGAAAGGTTTCGTCTTTCTTCTGTGAGTGTGCGTTTTCTGGGAGGTGGATTTGGCGTGCAAGTGCAGAGGGTGAGTTGCGTGAGTCCTCGTGATGGATGGGTTTTTCAACGCCTTCAAGAGCTCGGGACTTGTGAAAGTGGTGCAGGATGTGGCTGAGGATGCTCTTCACGTGAACCGTGACGGGAAAGGTAGTGTATTGGGCGATCCATTTTTCCACATTTGTATCGGAAGGGTAGTTTCGCGTTTGTTGCGGTTTCTTTTCTTCGATGGAGTTGGGGTTTGATGTTTTTGGTAGGCGGCATCCTGATCGTCTTGATTCTTGAATGCCTCACTCGCGAAATATCACTTGGATTTTGAGCAGCTTTGTCGGATTTAGCCCTTTTTAGAGCACTATGCTTCCTTTCGGTTGATAGATGTGTTTGCTTGTAAGGATAGCAAGGTAGAACTTTCGCTTAAACTGAGAGTTTTTTCTGAAAAGGGTATCAAGCACGAGCATGTGTAGTTCGCATTTGTGAATTTCTTTCATAACAATTTGGTCTGCTGATCTAGATTTGATACTTTATAGCCTCTCTCACGTTTACCGACGCGGTTTGCGCTATGGCTTGCACTCAGCTTTGAGTGCTATGAAGGACATTCAACTCTTCAAGCTGATATGAATCAGGCCGTTAATTGAGGATTTCAGAGTGATATTGTTTGGAGATGGTCATGAGAGTGCGGACAAGCCATCTCTTGAGTTGCTGAGAAATATACCACGGGTTTTCTTGTGTCGAAAACAGAACCTTGCTTGTTGGGAGATTTGAAGTGGTGTGGCTGAGTGGTGGGGCGATTGTGTTGTGCAGTAGGGAATGTTGACTCAAAGTCACGTTCCTACGATTCTTCCTCCACGGATTGGCCAACTCCAGGAGAATCTGAAGCTGATGAAACCCGCTATTCCCGTCATTCACGCAATGATGATGACCAGTCTTCGCAATCATCATGGGGACAGCCGGCTCGCAACGGACAAGACGAGTCATCGGAATCTAATTGGCAGCGTCCACGTCCAACTCGCAACGAAGAGGACGAGACTTCTCAACCTGAGTGGCGCCGCCCACGTCCAGGAAGGGACGAAGAGGATCAAGAAACGCAACCTAAGTGGGGCTCTTCTCGTCCAGAACGTGAGGACAACCGGCCTTCTGAAGGCAGCTGGGCTAAGGTGATAGTCTTTTTGTGTGCTTAGTGTCAAGTTGAGCTCGACATGTCTTTTCTCTACACTACAAATCAATCTTTTCACCATGTTTGTGTTGGTCATGCCAGGCGACGCTTGTTGTGTCGATAGGATAGCAAAATACCACTCCAATGTGAATTCAAAATCGCAGACGGAGAGCGCAAGTTATGTGGTTTGTGATCCAAAATGCAACGTTTTATTGACATCACCTCTTTTATGTGTAGGTTGCATCTACTCACGGAGATGACAACCAAGACGACGGCTGGCAGACTGCAGGTCGCACACGTGCCGGAGGGCGTCAACATCGTCCTCACATACGACCAAGTGAGGAGCAATTTAACGAGTATCAGCGCGATCCCAGTGAGCAGAATTACGCCGAGGAAGCTTCTGTTGACATCGAGCCAACGGAAGAGGAATTGAACGACCTCTCAGTTGCTGCAAACCGTCTCTGGGATCTTGATCTCAACAGACTAGTACCTGGCCAAGACTACGAGATTGATTGTGGGGAAGGAAAGAAGTTGTACAACAAGGAAGACATGAGCGTAAATTCACTGTTCAAGTTTATGGACAAGGGTGTGTTCAAGCGTCCCACATTTGCCCGTTTCTACCAACTCTTGGATAACTACAACTCCGATGAGTCGAAGCGCGAGGAGATGTCTGCAGCAGAGGAGCGAGAGCAGATGGTCTTCCTTGAAGAGATCAGTCGTACCGCTCCTATCAAGTATCTGTTGCGCTACCTCGCCGAAAAGAGGATTGTGTCTAACAGTATGGAGGAATTCAAGCAGATATTCCGCAACCTGTGGTTTGAATTCTATAACCGCGGTGGCACACAAGATTCTTCTTCTGCTTTCGAGCATGTGTTCGTAGGAGAAGTCAAACGCCGAGGAGAAGTCTCAGGATTCCACAACTGGATTCAGGTGCATAACCCAACTACCGCCTATTTCCTTTCGTTTCTCTTTTCTCTTTTCCCCTTTTTTCTTTCTTGGCCTGCTTGCAATTTCTCTCTTGCTGTGCCCAATTTAACCTTTAAGAGTGTTATTCTTGTCAGTTTTATATGAAGGAGGCCAAGGGAACTGTAGATTACCAAGGGTATATTTTTCCGCGGCGGCGTGGAGGAGATTTGGTAAGTCTCTGCAGGGAATGCATCTTCTCCAATTGCTCTTGATCTTTGTCTATACGTACTGCAGAAATGGTTTTCTGATTGGATTTTTATGGTTGATTTGTGCAGCCGGACTCACAATCACAACTGATGACGATCCAATTTGACTGGAACGGTGTGCGGAAGGAACAAAGCAGTGTCATGATCGGCGTCAGCCCAGAATTCGAGCTGGCGTTGTATACTTTGTGCTTCTTCTGTGGGCAGGAAGAAAATCACGTAAACTTGGGGCCTTACAGAGTTAACGTTAAGTGCTACCACATAGGCGAAGACAGGATTGGTTCCGTCTTCCCGATTGCTCTAGACTAAGTCTTCTGTCTTTGCAGTTTGTATGTAGAGTCTGTTTGCAGAGGAGCTGCTGGTTGCTCTTTCCTTTTTCACTGATTTTCACGTTTCTGGAAGGGCCTTTAAGAGTGTAGATTTTGTTGGCCAAGAGTATGATCAAGAAGTTGAACCAACACTGATGCCCCACAAGAAGGAACTTGCTTTTTGGCATCAGAGTCGTCTCGCCAAAAATGTAGAAAACTCAGGGTCGCTCTGTAAAAGACTGGTATCCAGATTGTCAGAGTTATTGACATTCATAAACTTCAAATGCTTGTTTCTTCAATTGAAGAAACAACAAAACTTGAAGAGCTTCACTCAATTTTATTTATCACATATTCCCCAACACCTTCAAGGCGTACAATTTCCCAATGAATTTAATCATCTATCAGTCTTCTACGCTAGTTGTATGGGCGCAGAAGAGTTTCTGACTGCTTTAAGAATTGAATATCAACTTAATGATTTTTGGATCTCTCTATTCACTGTTTTCGTGGTCTTGCCAGCTTTACATATCCTTGGCCCCAGGCAATGTGCAGTCACTTCAATGAACTTCCCTCCCACAAGTTATCTAGAATGACTACGTCACTTTTCCCTCAAAAGCTCGTTCCATAGTTGTTCATTTTACCACACCCCTTTTTGGTAATCATTGAATGTTCGCTCTGTGCCATTCTGAATCCAGCTCGAGACATTTATGAGCCCCTTGTTTTATGTGCTCAAGTCAAGATCGACCTTATCGGTACAAGTCATGAACTTTAACCAGGGGTCACAGCAACTCCATACACATAATCAGAAGTGTCAAGGGAAAATATCATATATATCCTTCAAATATGCTGAAATGTCAAGCATACCTTGTATTCTTGATAATAGCAAATATACCCCTCAAGTTTGTGATTATAGCAAATGTACCTTTGTTGGTGATAAGTTATCACCAATGTTCCTTGTTTAGTTGTCATCTAGGGCCGAAACAAGAATGTTCTCAATGCGATTCAAACCTTAGTTCTTCAGAGAGTAGCTAGTTTAAATATACTTTGAATTTGAAACAACAAAATATTTTGGCACCAATTTATGTAAACAATGGTGCTCTTTGCCTAAACCCTATGTAAGAGTGCTTGTTTGTTGTGCACCCTAGCCTAATCCTATATCCAAAGCTTTAGTTCCAGCTTCAAGAAGAAAACCCTTATTAGATTAATTGCACATTTTTTTTTCCTTTGCACAATTCATGTTGTTGCCACACATCACTTCTTCTGAACAATATATATTGTAAGAATAATATTGTAAGTAGGAGCTCATAGCCTATTTATAATGCACAACTTATCATTATTTAAAAAATGTAATGAGGCATATAAGATTTCTTCCTCCTCAATGTCAATTTCCAAAATATCAATAGAACATGTTAAGAAGAAGACCTTGGTTATAATTACTTACTTTGCTGCTTTGCAAACATACTCTTTCTTGAGACAACAAAATCACAACAAAATTCATTGACATATTCAATTAGATAATAAACAAGGAATGTTGGTAGAAACTTATCATAAATAGGATACATTTACTATTATCACAAATTTGAGGGATATATTTGTTATTATCAAGAATACAATAGTATTCTAAATATTTTAGAATATTTGAGGGATATATATAATATTTTTTCTACTATCAACTATACTTGGAATAAAAATGCTTCTTCCATCTTGATCTTTTCAATGATACAACAATTATTTTGCTTTTAGTACTATTAGAAATACATTACAATGGTGAAATTAGAGATTATTAAATTTTATTTAATACCCTCCAATTTAATTTACAAATTACAATACTTATGTAATTTTTTTAAAATGCATTCTTAACAATTAAAATGTGATTTTAAAAAATTTAAAAGAAGCATTAAAAAAATAAGAATAATCTCATATCATTCAAAGATTAAATCTCAATCTTATTTCTAAATTTGACAATTTTTTTAAAATATATATAATCATATGTTAAACTTATTTGAAATCTAAAAATGTGGAATACAATAAATAAAGGACAAATCTTACTTCAACCACCCACTATAGAAAGAACTAGTATAAGACCACAAGCTTTACTTGTTTGTAAAACAAAAAATGCTTGTTAATGATAAAATAAAGTTTTTCTTTGTTTAAATTTTATAATTTGTTGTTGAAAATAAAATGAGCTTACATGTTTAATATTTTTAACATCAATATATTAATATTAGATAGATTTTATAAAAGCATTTAAATTTAAATTTAAAATAATAAACCAGCTATTTATATATTAAAAACAACAAGATACAAAATACCACAAAACATGAATACATCATAAAAGCTTATTTAGAACATTATTTGGCCAGAAAATATCCAATTCCAAGTAAAAAAAATACTAATTTTGTTAATGAGAAGATTATTACAAAGTTATAAAATATATTTTAGTTTATTAATAAGAAAATCCAATAGTCAATTTTAATCTTTAATAAAAAAAATTTAAAAAAAAAAAAAAAAAAAAAAACAAATCGATTTGACTTTTAATAAAAATTAAAATTTAAACTTTTATTATGTAATATATATATATATATATATATATATATCCAAATTTTGTGCTAACACTCTAAATATTTATAAAAAACATAAAAATACATGATTCCAATGTAAAGCTCTCATCTTTACTATGATTGCACATACTAGAAAAGTTTCTAATATAAGTGAAGAATATTTTCAAAAAAATTCTACACATCAAAATTTACATAAATCAATAAAAGTTTTAGCGTACGAAATAATTCCAAATCTAAATAGTGTAGATATTTAAAAAAAAATGTAATATTTGAGATGCATCAAAGATACTTAATTTTAGTTTTTTACAGATTCTATGGCTAAATATTTTCCATTAACTATTGATAAAGTTACTAATTCTCTAATCTAAAGAAAAAAGAATGAAAAATATCATTTTAGCAATTCTTTTCTAATTATTTTTTTCAACTTATATTATAAGATTTTTATTAAATATTTTAATTAAAGATTTGAACCATACTTTTTAATGTTACTATTCAAAATAAATTATCTTTTCTATCTTAATATGTTTTGAAAAATACACTATTAGCATATTAAATATTGTAACAAATACGATGTTTACAAATATATTTACAAGCCTTATGTTTCATTCTTTAATTTAAATATATGATTAAATTGCTATTTGTAAAAGAAAAACATTAGTTAATATCAAAAAAAATCTTTCAAACAAATTTATACCTAAAGAAAAGTACGTCAATGTTTACTTTTGGCTCCTTACATCTTTTTGTTAAAAACAAAATTAAAAATAAAAATAAAAAACTTTATTTTTTAACCTATTAGCAACCTAATAGTTATAACTCAAAAGTCTATCTCTCTTTAAGAGTAAACATGAACAAAGAAGAGAAATTTAGATTCATGGCAAAGAATTAAAAATACTTACATAAGAATTAGATTCCAAAATATGACAAAATATGTTTAAAGTATAGAAGGTATTAATCAAATATTCATAAATAAACTCTAATTCTCAACTTTTATATTATATTGAATATTTTATTTAAAAAATAAGAATCTCTAGTAATTGCTACTACTATTTCTCTATGTATTAATATTTAACTAGCTACAACAAGGTTATACTAGATAAAATATTTATATTATATTCAAACCTAAAAGATATTAAATAAATAATTAGCAATCATCAATTACAACTTTTCACCCTAAGATCAACTTAATTAGAAAATTTAACTTTCTATATATTCCTAATTTTTCATGACATACCATCTCAAGTTCTTTTCAATATTGAAATAAAAGATCGGTTTCTTTTAATTTACCATAATAAATTAGATCGACCAAGTTTTATTATTTAGATTCCAAAAAATGTAAAATAAAGAAAGTGATTTTTCAAATAAAGGCATAATAATCGTAGTATATAAATTAAAAAAATAAAGCATTTACAGAAAAGAAGCATGTATATGAAACAACACTGAATAATCTAGACATATAGGGGAGTAAAATAACAAGAACTACAATCACTACAAACAAAACCCTTTATTTTATTCTTTTACTTCATAAATCTCGGCTGCAACCAACATAATAAAAAAAAAGGTACTACCAATGTAACTTAAATGAATAAAAGCCAAAAACAAATATTTACGATAAAATATAATTGACAAAAAAATAAAAATCGTAAAATAGCACAGGTTATAACTTCCAAATTTTTGCATAATTTATAAATCTATTTAACAAAATAAAAGCAAAGTTCAAAATGTACTAAGTAAAATTCAAGTCGCATAAAACAATACTCATTCAGACAAGGTAGAAGAGAATAAATAAATGCATAAAACACACTTAACTATAAATAAAAGTTAATTCTATGCATGCTCAAAAAAACACTAAATATCTTATATGTTAATACTTACGATTGATATTAATTTAAACACAATTGTTCTAAAATTTCAAATGAGTATACTAATTTTTTAAAAATAAATCAAGATAATAAGATTAAATATAAAATCTAACCTTTAATTTTTTTAGTCCTATGAACATCAAATAAAAAATATATATTATCATGTAATATTTTGCATTGACATATGTATCTAAAACATAATAAAGAACCAAATATATGTATAAATTGTACTAAATACTATCACTTTGCTCTATATAAATATAAATGTCTAAAATACCACAATATATTCTTCATATATAATCATAAGCAATGAAACCACTTTGTAGTCTAACTCAACTTTGATAAGTAATACTTCTTTTGTCCCAACATATCATCACCAGATCCAAATTAAATACATAACAAGCAATGTCTTAACAGTAATATAAACAAAATTACATTATATTTACATATCATATATTGAACATTTAAGATACTGATATACAACATTATTAACCCTACTAAAAGTAACATCCATTGCATAGATCATATCCACTACATCATAATTTGCTCTAACCACTCACCAACTTTAAAAAAAATGTGATCAATCCACAACAGTGAAATAACATTCAAGTTCTACAACACCTCAAAAACAGACCAATCCAACCGACGATTGCCCTACCTAAACCATATGTAAGTATCCTACAACACTAACAATAACATGCAAGCCATAAAACCCCACAAAAGTCCATCAATTCTAATGATAGATATATACCTCTTTAAATGGAGAACCAACAGCCAACTCTAGAACACATTACATGTTAAAAACAATCATTACAAACCTAAAGGCAACTCACTATCACCTCTTCAATTACAAAAACACTTGGAACTAAACTCTCAAATGGTATACCCTAAGCAATGCAAACGTACCATCCATATAGAAATCAACCAATGCAAAAATACCAACCAAATTCAAATCAATACACCAACATTCTACACATAGTGCCCCCCACTCATACAGCATATGTCAACTTTAAATTTCTTTTAAAAAACTCGTCACTTAATGTCAGATACTACTTGGATGCCGTAAAAGAATATAAACCAAAAATACTCAACCAATTGAATCCAGTCGTTACCAAAGAATTTCCTTAAAACACACATATTAAAACCACAACACATCCGCTTTATAAAACCAATCACACAAATGTAAAAATCTAAAAACTAGTGCACACCATAACATGCTTCATTCACGTCCCATCCCCATACTCTCTAACAATGGACACTCTAGCACAGAACCCAAACCCACAAGTCATTCATCCATACACACCATCAACAAAACTGACCGAAATTCCCAATCGAGACCATTACCCGCACGATTTTAGTCTGCGCTGTTCGTAAATGAAGAGTTTCGAATTGCACCCATCATCCCCCCAACCCAACCTATTATTCAAATCCAACCATAACAACACCACAGAAATGCATATCAAACACCACAAAGACATGCAGGACCACACGCCCACAAGCACCCATGCTCTTCTTTTCGCCACTTTCATCCGTTCATCATCAACCCCCTAATCAATACCCTTCCACACAACTCTACAACGGCTTCCCTTAACGTACCCATTCACTCTCCGCAATTTATCCATAACTCTCATCACACCATTCCTAAACCACTCACCACCTGGTAGCTCAACGCCTGTTCACATAACATTCAAACCCCCCCCCCATGCCGTTATGACCATCATTGCCCAACGCAAGTACGCTCGGCCACCCCAGACCACCCTTAAAAGCCCAGATGCATTCAACCTCCTCGGCGTAGAATCCAAGTAAAGCCACAGCCAGTCCCATAATCACGCATGCCCCGCCTCTGCATGCAACCCCCCCCCCCCGTACGTCATCACCATGCGTCAACCCCTCAATCCCGGCTTTTCTCTGCCTATCCTCTGGCCTGTAAATACTCTCTGAATCCCCTGTTGCTGCAAAGACAACGTCCATCCACCATTCTCACGCCCAGACCCACTTCCCACACGCCATGTCCCCTCATTCACTCCACCATATCCCACTCCCCTCCTCCCGGATCCCAACGTCGTTCTCCACATCTTCCAAGCCTCTCAACACTCCAATCCCCACAACCACATGCACGCCCCCTCGCCCCACCCCATCCCATGCTTCAATCCCAACACGCTCCACTCATCGTCGTCAATGTGCTGTGCAAAGCCATGCCATGCCCAACCCACATTCACAAACCTCCCTTACGCCCATACACCATCACATCCCCCACCCCTACCCCGTCTACGCTCTTCAACAGCACCCCCACCCCATCCATTCATTCCGACGGAGACGCACAATTCTAAACTAAGTTAGCCCGCAACCCCTCACACCACAGCACCATACGCCCATTTACTGCCCACACCATTCACCCCCACTCGCATTATTCATTTTCATCGCCCGTACGCGCCACTAACCCCCTGACATTTCACCGCCGTTCAGCTTGTCAGCCGGAACTGAAGACGATGCAGTTATTCTGCGCGCGTGAATGAATGACACCTCTCAAGAGTCCTCACTATCGGCTTCAGTACGCCTTGCGAATCCCGCATTCTCACGCTCGCCATCCCACCCCCCAACACCTGAACCAACCACACGCCTGCCCATTGCGCACCATTCCTTCTTCTCGGTACCTGCACCGCATCCTGTCTGCTGCATCACCAATCCCACCCTCACAACCGCTTCGCAACTGCTGTGCGGCGCACGCCCCACCACACGCCACCCTCCTCGCCGCCTCTCGTCCCTACCACCACTCTCGACTTCCACACACTCCGCCACTACGTGCAACCTGCTCATACCTCTTCGCCGCTCCTGTCACCCGCCTCTGCCTCCCCGACGCACACTGCCCTCCTCCCTCCGTAACCCTCACCCCACATCCTACACTGCTGGCCCGACCTCCAAGCCTCGCCACAACCCCGCCCACCCTGCCGTTCCCCACTTCCGCCCCCACCTCTCCAAACCCACCCATCCATTCCCCACACATCCAACACTGCCCCGCGCATCACATCCACGCTTGTCACACCGCACCACACCACTGCACACCCACCTTCCCCCACTCCCAACCCCCCAAACCACCTCTCCACCCCTTTCTCACGCCTGCCGCACACCCACCCAGTCACCGCTACATATCCTGGACACTCCGACCCACACATCGCCGCCTCCCACCCCTACCGACGCGCCCTCGACATGAACAAATCAACACATGAAGCACAAGAAGAAGGATACATCAAAAAAATTAAGCACCAAGACGACGACAACGACAACAACAAAAACAAAAAAACAAAAAACAAAGGAAAGAAAAGAAGCACACATCATCCATTTCATAAGTTCTCATATATGTGTGCGTCTCCATATCCATCTATCTACCTATATATGTCCCCTACCTATATAAAAATATGTATCCATGTCTACAGTCCATCCCATCTCAAAGGATGCGATATCCACCGCCGCCGCGCATGAACCATCCATCCAGGGAGATGGCACGTCACCTCACTTCCCTCCCCCTACGCCCGCACCTCTACTCCGCATCCGCATCCGCTGCCCACCTCCTAACCGCCCTCCTTCGCACCCTCACAAGGCTCACAGGCTCAGCACCTGCCGTGTCGCAGCTTCGCCCTCGTTCTCTGCATCCTCTGCTACCACAGGACGCAGCGGGGCCGCGCGCGCCATCACAGCCGACCGCAGCACTACGGGCATCGCCGCCCTGCTCCCCACCCTCGCCATCGTCACCGCCTGCATGCTGCTCCACCAACTGCTCGCCCCAGTCCCTGACCAAGACATGGGATTGTACGACCCCTGCACCCCGCACGCTCCGTGCTCCTTCTCCACGGAATCGCCCCGCAGCTCGCCGTCCCTGCTAGCCTTCGAACTGTCCCCGCACAGCCACTCGTCCTCGTCCCGCCGATGGTCGTCGTAAGGCACTGCCACCTCGTGCCTCTCCCTCCGCATCGCCGCCACCGGCCGGACGTTCACGGGACTGTGTCGCCCCACAAAACCGCCCCCCATCGCCCTCTCCACCGCTCTCTTCGCCATCGCCGCATCCCGCATCGCCGCCGCGTCCCGGGCCCCCGCACTGTCCCGCTGCCCTGCAACGTCCCGGATAATCACCGACGGACCTACTCGCGACGGCCCCACGCCACGGTACCCGCCACCGCCCACGGCCCCCACCCCCGCATGCCCCTGATTCCGCATGTGCCGCTGCTGCTGCTCCATCGACAGCTCGCCCACCCAAGCCCCCGAGTGGCCCTGGCTCAGCCGCGGCGACCCGGGCTGCAACCCCTCCCTACTGCTCAAACACCTCACCCTGATCGGCATCACGCCCCCCGACGCACCAGAGCACACCTGCGGCATCTGCTGCGCCTCTTTCCCGTAATGCTGCGCCAACGCTCTCGCGATCGTGTTCTGCTCCTGCTCCTCGCTCACCTCGGTATCCGTTGCCACCGCCGCTACGCCTCTCCCTGGATTCGCAACTGTCACCCAACACACAACCCCACAATCTCATTCTCGCCTCCATACACCATTCCCAACCCTCCCCACATCCTCCACCACCAATTCCTCCCCGTACCGCAACCACCCATCCCTGCATCCCGTCTCCACCACGATCCTCCCACTGCTACTACCACCTTCCCTCGCCACCGCCCCATCCCCCTCACCAATTCCCTCCCCTGCACTCGCCTCCCCAACATTCCCACCGCCCACCCTCCCATTTCACTCCACTCACATTCAAATTCACACTCACACTCACATTCCCCGGAACTCCACTCACATTGCTTCAGTGCAGACCATGCAGCCATCGCTGCATTCTTCTCCGCCTGCTTCTTCGTCTTCGCAGCTTCCCCGCTAAAAGTCATGCTAGCCACCTCCACTGTGCATGTGAACACTGGTAGATGCCCCGGACCCGATCGAGTCGTCGCGTACACCGGGAGCGACACCCCCGCCCTTTGGGCAGTCTCCTGCAGCAGGTTCTTGCACACGCCCGTCTCGTCCTGCATACCATCCACCGCACACGTCAGCCCGCCAACACCGACACCCACACCCACACCCTCATCCCCTGCTCCTCCCATCCCATCCCACCATTCATTCCACCACACCCCGCTCCGATGACTGCCCCACTCACAAGGATCCGTGCTGCCAACGACTGAGACGGCCCTCGCCGCGATAGCGTGTTCAGAGCCACCTCCGCTGCGGCGTGCTCCGCCTGCCGCAACGTGTTGCAGTAATTAGGGCTTTCGAACACCTCCCCATTGAAGTTCACCGTCGCCTTGAACCGCGGTGCATGGTCCGGGCCCTCTCTGATGCATGCATACGCAGGCAGATTGAAGCAGCTCCTCTGAGCAAGCTCTTGAAGCTGGTTCTTGTACATACCTGCCACCACTCTCTGCATCAGCTCCATCACACCATGCTGTCGCAAACAAACCCTATCCCCGACCCTTCGCCCGCTCTCAAATCCACTCCTCCCCCCACCGCCTCCGCACCGCGCGTGCGCCCATCCATGCCACGCCGTCCCACCCTACCCTCCAAACCCCCTCTCTCCCTCTCCCTCCCGACGGATTCCGCTCCCCGTCTCCCACCTCACCGCACCACAGCGCACGCGATGACCCGCCCCTCTCAACCTCCTCTCGCGCACCACCCAAACCCCGCAGCTCAAACCGCCGCCCAGAGCGCCAAAATGCCCTACTCTCACTCCACCATCCTCCAATCTGCCCAACCCACACCAACCCAAACCCCCCTGTCCTCCACTCACTTACCTCTGGGGCAGACACACGGCACCTCGGTGCGCTGCGGCCTTCACCACATAAGCAGGCCCCGCTTCCCGCCTCTACCACCATGAACAGCACACCCCTGCCACCGCAACACGCTTCACACGGACCGCTCCTCGCAACCCTTCCCAACCGGCCTTACAACCAATAAAAACTCCACCACTAGCACTATCCTGTGCTCCTCTGCCTCACTGCGCACGCACACCCGAACTGCCCACCTCCACAAAAACACCGATGCGCTCCTTCCGCGACCCAAACACAAACGCCACACGCCACCCTCGCCGCAACCCCAAGCGACCGCCCGCCGGCCCGCCCAGGACGTCGGCCTCTCGACACCCGCACTAGCTTCTCGCGCTCGCACACACGGATGGCGTACAACCCAGCGCCTGCAAGGTGCACCTCACATGGCAGTGACGAGCGGGGGGAGGGGGGTGGGGGGGAGAAAGGATTTGCAAAGCTGCACGAGACCAGAATCCTTCCTGCAATGAGAGCCTAGGCGAGCGGACGGAGGGGCTGACGGGCAGACGGGCGGCTCGGGGGGTGGGGCAGGCGGGGGCGGGAGGGGAGGGGAGGGCGCCCAGGCAGGGAGGGCTCGAACGCCACAGCAGCAATGGCACGCACGCACGCACGCTGCTCCGGCTCCACCCCATATTTGGTGCTTCCCTTTTGGCTTTGGTCATCGCCGCGCCTGCTGGGAGCCTTCCCCGCTCGCGGAGGTTTTTGTTGCCTTCTCGGCGACCCCGTTGGTTGGTGCGGCAGCTAGCTGCCTGCAGTCCAATAGGTGTGGGCTTGTGGTTCCGCATGCTCACCTGCTTGTTGCTTTCTGCTCCTTCTGTTGTTTCTTCTTCTTCCTGAGTAGATCTTCCCGGATGATGGCCCGTGGAGCCTGGCTCGGATGCGCACCGTGGTGTCCTCGCTCCTTCGTTCCATGAGGCTTCCGTGTTGTTTCTGACTTCAATGTGCCAAAAAGGGCGCTAGCTTTTTGGCCACTCTGCATTCCTCTCGTCTTTACCTTTGTCACAATCAGAATGAGGGCTGCGTTGTTCTTCGTTTGCATGGCGTTTTCTGTGTATGTGCTTTTCATTTGCATCGTATTTTAGGAATTCTTTTGAAATGCAAGTTATTCTATGTTAGATTGATCATTGTTACGGTGGTTTGTTTATTGTGTTTTCCTGAGTCCTTTTTGTTTCAAATTGTTAGAAGAAAAGTCTTTTAATGTAATTTTATGATATGTAATGAATAATTATTCTATTGTTGATTTTTGTTTTTTTTGTAATATAGAATATTTTTATTTACCTAACAATGCTTATGATTTGAACTTTGGTGGTGTTGTTGTTGTTAGTACATTGTTAAAAATAGTATGTTGTTGTAGTTATGGTGTAAGAACTAGCACTTTTGAATGTGTAGAATGTGAGGAGAAAGATAAAGTAATGATGTGCTATTTAAATATATGTGAATTTGGACTAGACATAGCAATGGAAAGTAAAAATTTAAGGATTTAAGAGACACTTTTGTACTCTACTTTTTATGGAGATGCTATGCTACCTAAGAATAGTCTATAACTTTTAGAAGTTTTGGATTTAAGTAGTGTGATAACAATCTTGTATTATGATGACCATGCCTAATCAAAATGGATTAATAAAGCAATAATAGTTTGTTATGAGTATTGAGTGGTTTGGTAGCTTTCCAACGAAGTGCATTTAGATTGTATTTAGAATTGTAGATGTATGTTGATGAAATAGGGACATATACAAAATTACTTCAAATTATTTGCCTTTAAAAGAGGTATGGAGCTTATATATCTTATTGAAGAGTAAGTTGGCATTAATTGACATAAATGTCATTTAGAAATTTTAAATTAATGATCTTAAAAATATTGATAATAATATATAAAATAATAACTTGTGTTTGTATTTTTTTTGAATTTATGTTTTATTACTAATTTCTATCAATATTAGTTAGATATTTTTTGCAACTATATCATATAAGAAAATATATCATATGCTTAAAACATTAATTAAGTAAATATATATATATATATATATATATATATATATATTTGTATATGGCAAATAAAATTCATCAATTGCAAAATATTGATACTAAATCAAAGATTGTGAAGGATTTGATGTTGTATAAATTTTAATGCTTTTATAAAATAAAAATAAAATTAGAGATTTAAGTAGATTGTAAAAATAAGAATCATTAGAACTTGCAAGATTTGTATATATTTTATACACCAATTCCTATATTTTTTATGCACTAATTACTACACCCATTTTTTTTGTATTCTAAAGTCTTAGATTGCAATAAGGTTTGTATAAAGTAGAATACTAAAGCATATAATATATTTTTAATAATTTAATATAGGTATTATTTATTTATTTTAGAAAAAATAGATTACTATATTTTTTTGTTGTTTATTAAAGGTTGTGGATTATTTGTATTTATACTATAATTTTTAAATTTTTTACATCGATTTTTTCTTTTATAAAAGTGAACCATCAAGCTTTATAGAGATTTCATTTAATATTAAAGATTGTAGATGACTATTGTCTATTTTACTTTTGGATTTGTTAAAGTCATCTATTATAGAGATGAAAGGTAATATTATAGATGTTATATTTGACAAGAGTAAAAAAATGATTTGCAACTACTGTAAAACTTCACAAACTTGTAAATACTCTTAAGGTAGAAGTTTCACGTATCATCAACGTCAACCATAGATGTATTATTCTTATGTCTATAGAAGAAGTTAATAATGAGGTTTAATGTTTATACAAAGATGTTGTACAGTTAAGAGAAAAAAGTAGATCAACCTTACAATTCAATTCTAAAGGTCTTGCTACTATAAATATAAGTGAGGCATGGATTAATATGTTGGAGAAGCTTAATAGAATAAGCAAAAAAATTCCACAAATTTATACAATAAATCAAGCCTTATATAAGAATATATTATTTTTTTTTATTTTTTTTTATTTTTATTGATTTACTCAAGTAAGATTTGTAAGTGCACTTTTACTTGTAAGTAATCTCTTTTGGTTTGCACCTTTTATGGAAAAGAAATTAAATTCCTATATTATTCAAATTTATTCTTATAAAATTTTATGGCCAGATTTGACAAAAGTAATTGAGAGAGGGTAGTAGAAACATAACATCTTTATTTATAAAAAAGATCATCAATTACAATATATGTTGTTGAATTCCAAAACCTTACTTACAATATGGATTGGATTGATAAAGCCCTTATTAACCAATTTTCATATAAGTTAGAGAATAATGTCAAAGTTTTAGTATTAACAATGTCAAAAGTTGACTTCATAGAAAAATGTATTGCTCAAGCTATTGCATGCAATAATTAAAATTTTGAAAGATGCAAAGAACAAAGATTTGGAAAGAGAAGAATAAGTCAAGTTGTGACAACAATTCATAATTTTTCAAAATCTTATTTATTAAGATTATAATTAATTCAAATTAATTAAATATATTTTAAACTTTTCACTAAATAAAAAAAGACTTCATTTTGTCAAGAATAATTGTGCTTATATTGTGGAGAACCTAAGCACACTTCTCAACATTTTTCAAAGTAGCAACGCAACCATAAAATGAGGAGCATGTTTGCCAAAAAGAATAAAGTCTTGGAAAACAAGTTTGTCTAGCTACAATAGGAATTGTGAGAATAATATCTTGTGCAATATCTATAAAGATCTTATTCTCTCCTTAGATCCATCACCTTGCTTTATAATAGATGTTAGTTTGGAACCAAAAAATCATAAAGCCTTTGTCTAATTAGATTTAAGAGCCTCAATTTTTTTTATAGGCAAATGTTTGCTATAAAAACATAAAATATTTTTAATTAAAAAAACTAAGTTTGTGCATGTAGAAGTCATAAATGGTTGTTTATAGATGTTTGTTTATAGAATTCATAGATAATTTGTATCTCTATGTAATTTGATGTTTTTATAGTCTTATTCAAATTTGTTTATATTGAATTTACTACTTATACAAGCATTTATGAAGCTTTGATAATATTTATAATATAAGATAAAGAAGAAAATATGGCTATAAAAAGACTTATTGGATTTAATGCATTTTAAAGTCTTATATATTTAAGAAATTGGTATTAAAAAGCATTCAATAAAATTATAAAAAAATATATAAAATGAAGTTATTATTATTTGTTTTACAATAGATAAAAACACATTACAAGATATCTTTATTTTATTTTATCTAAATTTTTATAGAACTATTTTTAATTAATTTAAAATAATTATATTCAAATTATTTTTAAATGCTTTATTAAAAATAAATTTTAATAATAAATAGTTTAACATATTTTGATTTTTTTTGTATATATTTAAAAATCCAATACTTTGGATGAATATTTTGTCAAATAAATCTATTGAAATTCAAATTGTAAAAATGAATGGATTATGAATTAAACAGTTCTATATATATAGACATACACATATAAGATAAAGTGTTAGAAATAGTTGAACTAATTTGTTTAAATAGAATTAAGATAAAATAACAATATTTTTATCAAATTAAAGAAATATAGGTACAAAAGAATATATATATATATAGAGAGAGAGAGAGAGAGGGAGAGAGAGAGAGAGAGAGAATAAAAATCTAATAAAAATGCATTTCCATGATTAAAATGTGTAATCATAAAATTGTCTTTTAATTTTATTTTCTATAGGTGCATGAATGTTAAGGATGTTAGGTAATGCGTAATGTCTTATTTTATTTTTCTCAAAGAATGAAATCAAAATTTCGAGATCGCTAGTCATGTGAGGGGAAGATACTTGTGTGTGGATGGTTTTGTTTGTGACATGGGGGAAATCTGTTTGCACATCCCCACGAACGCCATCCTCGTGAATGGCGCAGACGCAAATCACATGTGAGAGCCCTCGTCAGTGCCCGCAGCCGAATCCAATCGAACGTGACACACAAATTTCTGCTTCGCACGATCACATGCACAACGGAGTCTCAAAATGGAGGAGGAACTGGCCTCGAGGTGTGCTGCATACACACAGAGATGAAGGATTCTGAAAACCTCTTGTTGGGCTTCATCGGAGCAATTGCTTGAACGAAGAAGACGTGGAATGAGGGATTTGCGCATCGCTCTGTGCATGACCAGTGAATACGAATCCTGTGACAGCGATGTAAGATGATAAACAAATGCATTCAGAAAACGTAGATCGTGAAAGGGGTGAAAAAGCGGTGTTGTGATGTGCCGTGTTTCGAGCATTGGATCGATGCTGTCGGTCACAACAATCCGCCTCCGATTTGCCACGTAGCAAACGACAGCAACAACATTCATTAAGAAGAGGTATCACTGCAAGGTCCAGCAGAAATCCATGACTAAGCATTGGCAAAACAACAGCACTAGAAACAAAATCACAGCTACCCAATTACAGTTTCTGACACACTTTCAATTCCCCGA